TTTCATTACTGTGAATATCACTTTCATATTTATTTCTTAAACCGCAGTCCACATATATCATTTTCATATATTCACCTCTTTTATGTGTATACATCCTACTACGAGGTCGTCTGACATTGTTAATCGCTTGTATAATTGGACCTCACTCGGTCGTATTATCATTAAAAATGCTGCTATCTGTTAATATAGTATAGTTTTGTATGCGTGTGTATTATGCTATCGAATTCAAATTTTAAACGGTCGTCTGACATTGCGTATTAGAGACTCAATGCGTTTTGAAAAGTTGTAGAATCTGTAATTGGGTACCTTCGTTTCCAGCTTTGAGTCTTGTTTGTAACGTAATTCGACTTAATTCAATCTCTCCAGCACGAGGACAAAGAAGGATTCGATCAAGAATCACCACAACTTGAAAGGTTGGTTTTTGATATAGCGGAGGCGCAAGTCCCAAAAGTAGCTTGAGTAAACAACGCCATTGCATCACCAGTCCCACTGCACAAAGGGATTGCATTTGGGTTATCATCGATTTACATTTATCGAACTTTTATACACCAGTTGTACTAATATTGCTTGTATATTTGGGAACGCTCTGAGTTCGGCGTAAAACGAAAGAAACCTTTTTTTAATCCTTTTTTGTCATAACTTTTTTTTCGCCCTGATGATTCGAGGAGGAAATTCTGGAGGGCCCTCTGATATGATATACCTCTGTTCCAAGAGCACCTCTCTTAAAGGCTATATACAAACTTGTTCATACTGAAAAGAAGTTCCTCTATCCTTTGTATCTAATCGCTGCTTTGAACGGACAGGGGACACTTTTCTGTTTTCGTAGGTGTTGTTTGATCGAAGGTTCCAGTGAAGTTCGTTTAACATTACACTATTCAGTGAACAGTTTGCGTTCAGGAAAGCGTTCAATCATTCAGTTGATGAGAAAAGTCTCAAAGCGACTGTGGTCTGTTCTACGCCGCGATCGTAGCTCGTGGATCGCACTATCCGATTTAGTTTGTCTCGTACCACCTACTTAGAGTTCACGTCAGTGCAACGTTTACTTTTAGTTATGAAGATCTTATGTTTGGAGAAGATGAAGAGGAGGAGAGACCTGGTATGAAGAAAAAGAAACAGGTATCAACACCCGTTCCAAACATGCTTCAACTCCACATTTGTTTCAAGTTGATATTAGGGATGTTTTACTACTGATGAGTGTCTGATCTTTGTAGGAACCTGAATTAAGAAAGATGATATTTGTTCTTGTTGAGCATAGGGAAATGCCGTGGAAATAATAATTAACAGAATTTTGAAACTTTTTAATCGACTCGCAGGCTGCCAAAACAGGTCAAGCCGGTGAACGTGTGAAAGGTCCAAAAGCCTGGATCCGAGAGGGAACTGAAGAAGAGCCTGTGGATTTTCTTGACCCGGGAGTGGTGCAGAGGGTTGTGGGTAAGACATTTCCTAGCATCCAGGCCCCAGTTGTTCGAAGGCTGGATAATGCTATCCAGTGGATAAATCTGTATCCGGAGGTTAGCGCAGTACGTTTGTAAACGCTTATCCGTTGTATAGCAATTTATCCCTTTGATAGCGTTATCCAGGATGCTTAGGTACGTTTTTGCGCTTAAGTAAAATGTTAGCTTTGAAGGGAATATTGCTTGCTTATAATAAGCGAAAAATAATAAAATTCATAGCGGTTCAAAATCACTTAGTTAACGATAATGCCACAGAAAAAAACCACAGGAAAAATAGGAGCATGCATGAACAGTTAGATAAGTTACTCTGTTAGGCTGATACTGTTTCAATCCTTACAATGTCATGGAACATTTGATGACAGAAGAGTTTTGCGCCATACATGATTTCAACTTTTTTGCGGCCAAAGAGAGAGAGAAAAAAAGACTTACTGAGAATCCATAGCTACATGAACTAGCTCAAGATCGTTTTGCGGACGATACTGTCATGGCAACAGTTGGAAGATGTTTTCCTCTGTGAATGTTTGGTAGAAAATGTAGCTCAAGAATGCATAGTTGAAACTGCTGTATCTGAAGACACTCTTTGCTAACAATGGATCTCAGAAGTGTTATACGAGAGAACGTCTGAATCCATCAAGATGAATGAATTTAAAGTCCTCCATTGACTTCATATTTTTGTTCGTCCCAAGCAACGGATCCAAAAAAGCCTACCAAACGTAAAGCAACAGATGATTTCCAGGTTTCTTCCGATGGAAAGCTCATCATCCAAGATAACGAGGACGAGGAGGAACAACACGAGCCTGGATCCAAGCGTAAGAGAAAATCAGGTACATGTCCTGTGATACGACTTCAGGAATTATATTGTAGTTGTTGATGTGTAAGACTGCTTATTCAAACTGCCCTTCGTTAGCGTGTTATCCGTCTGCGTATTTGTAACTGTGATTATGTTATCATTTTTGACAGGTACGGAGGACCCCGTGGAGGATATGGAAGAGGTAAGCCGTGTTGTATTGCTGATACACTTGTGGGCTGAGCCTATGATAAGAAATGAGCAAAACATACACTGAAGTCGCACAATGCGCACTACGGGGTCAGTAGTATTGACGCAGCCGCCACCGCTGACCCACCCCTCCCCCCCGAAAATATGTAAATCAATACGAAGAAATAAAAAGTGAGCCACAAATGAGCCATGCCTCGCTGACGAGACCTAACAAGGCTGGGAAAGTAGTTCATGGCTGTAACCTCAGTAGCTCTTTTTTTCATTTCATTTTCAATAGGAGATATAGTTTTACTATTACTGACAGGCGTAGTTGTGCACATTTTGTGACTTAATGTACTATTTCGTTTAAGCGGCCACCTGCAAGAAAACCCACAAGTGGAAAGGGTAACTTGGCTAGAAAAAGAAGCAACCATCTATGTTCTTGATAGAATACATAACCATTTCCGTTCATGATAAAATAACAACCATTTATTCTATAATAAGAGTTTCTATCAACAAAAGGATTACTTTCTGTTAAATACCAGAAGTTGTGTAACAAATGATTCAATACACTGACTTTTTGTACGGGTGTTACAGAACTGCTTTAAAAGACGCACGAACCGATGTCGTATTATTATTGTTATTGATATTATTATCATTATTATTATTATTATTATTATTATTATTATTATTATTATTATTATTTTGCTATGAAGAGTTGTCACTAGTTAAAGATTAATTCATATAACATTTTTCCACATTTCTTCAAGGATCCATTCCCAGGGAAAAAGAAGCGGAAATCTTTTGGTGGTAGTAATGAAGATGATGCGCTCGTTGAAGGTTTGTTTTTTTTTTCGTTGGCATCTGCTCTGTTGTTATGACGTAGAATTAACTACCTTAAGTTTATCTAACAGAGGTTCCTTCGAGACGTGAAAAGAGTGATAAGGCGTTTGGAGCTGAGTACAAAGCGAAGGTATGGGTTAGTTTTGTTAACTGTCTCTCATTACCCTCCTGTCCTCCTTACTGATCCGACACGTACTGTCTTATTGACTAACTGAGGGACCGACTGACTCTCCGATAGACCGAGTGATTTACTTGTTGACCAACTAATTGATCCATCGATTGATTGATTGATTGATTGATTGATTGATTGATTGATTGATTGATTGATTGATTGATTGATTGATTGATTAGGGGATTAATATGATCAAAAGACTGACTGGTCGATTGGCGGATTGGCCGATGGTTTCATTAAATGATCAAGTCATCGCCTTATTGATTGTGTTCTCGAATTTCTTCCTCAGTGTTAGGCTTAATGCTTCCTGTTGCGGTCTCTCACTTTTCGTAAAGTTAACTTCCTTTTTCACTCATTGACAGATGTGTAGATAAATCAAAATGGAAAATTTGGTACAATATTACTTTTCTTCTCAATGTTGATCTTTCGTTTCGATCGCCATTTTGAAGAACTGCATATAACTAGCAAATACCTGACATTTTGTCGACCGCTTGATTTTGTTTGAGCGCCTTTCTCGATTCTGTTATGCAGCTTTGTCAAAAGAGGGACTTTTGCGAGACCAAACGGTGGCTGCGACAGAGACTATTATTCTTTGGTGCTATAACGAAACTGTTCGTGTACTGAACTATGTTACAAAGAAGCCAGGATTGAATCTCTACTGATACTAAGAAATTCTCTTCATTAACTCGATAGAAAGCGGGCGGTGATGTGAAGAAGAAAGGAAAACCAGATCCGTTCGCTTATGTGCCTCTCCAATTAAATATGCTCAACAAGAGGTAAGTGCTGACGTGCCTCAAATTTTATATTATTTGATTGCAGCGGGGCTGAGGGATCTTGAAATTTCCCGGTTCCTCTCCTTCTTCGCCTCTCTATCGTGAAAAAAAAGCTATCGCAACTCACTTCCCACAAGTAGTTTTTGCTTGTCATACTTTTCGTGAGGAGGGTCTCTTTCCTCTCAAGACGCGTCTCGTTCATCGCAAAATGAATCGTGTGTTCTACAAGTCGCGTTCCCCTTTTCGCAAATATGGTGTGTGCAACGCTTGTTAAATCAATGTACTTTCTAATCCGATAGTGTGTCACATCTTTTCAACAAAATAATTGTTCTCTTGCGTTTTTGCAAAGTTGTTGTCAAACGCTAGGGACAAAGCACATTCACTGGCAAAGAAATAGGAAATGTTTTGAGGAATTATGAAGCATAGTGATAGGCGATTGCGGCGTTTCTCTTTTCGACTCTCTGCTTTACCTTGGATGCTTTATCACGATCTTTCTTGTCACTTTGAAAGTGACAGCCACTATGTCATCCCATGGCTCTTTATCGAAGGCTTTTGTCGTTAATATATCAATTGATTGATCTTTGTCACAGGAAGCAAAAGAAAATGACGGGCCAGTTTAAGGGCCTGGTACGAGCTACGAAACGCGGAGCAGCGAACGTCAGGCAAAAGAAAGGGAAAAGATGACATAAAATTCACACAACGCCATGAGCCGTCAAATGCCTGTGGGGGTGGTGGGTGAATGGGTGAATCATCGAACGAGACACATTGGGAAATATCCATTTTATTCTCTTTGCAGCTGAAGAACTATCCTAGAAATCTCCCCCAAACTCCCCATTTATTTATGATTTTAACTCGTAAAGCTTTATGGAAAATGAACCTCTCATTTTTGCCGAGTGAAGCAAAATAGAAGCTTCTTCTACTTTGTGGTAAGGGTCACGCTGTTGTATGAACAGGAATGGTAAGGTACTTACCTGTGAGAATTGTTTAATAAGCGCAATACGAAGGACACGACAAAAAAAGATGGTGATAGAAAACTGAGCTGAAAACTGATTCCTGCCCCCTTCACTATTTTATTCGAGATTATTTGAAATATGTTCACTTTAGTTTGATTGAACTAATAAATCGAAAAACACTTTAGCTATCTACATTGTCGGTATTAAAAGAGTAACCTCGATAAACTATTTGACTAAATCACCAAATTTTGAACTACATTCCTTAAAACGGATACAATCACCTCTTTTGGCTAAGTGCTAAAAATTGAAAATTTCAAAACCTAATCTGTATTATTTAGCCTAAATGCAGCCTTGAAATCTTGTGGATGCACAACTTTATTTGCTGACTAGTAACAAAGCTTTCCTTTACTCTGCGCAATCAGTCCCTGATTGTTTCCAATATGAAGCCGTGTAAACGCAGGGCCGAGCTTGATCTTTCAACTTTTATTTCCAAGAATTGACCAACTGAACTTTCAGCCTTTTTACGCATTTAGCATTTTCTTCATGGTGTATCCCTAAAAGGTGAACCATATATGTGTTAGTTTTGTTTTAAAACATGGTGACGATGCGGAAACACTTAAACTCTCGAAGAGCGCTTCTTCGTCATTATGATTGATACAACCAACAAAATCGGAGTTAAACGTCTCACAGGCATACAGTAAAGATCAAGCTAACCCAATCGGTTCAAAATCGGCCTTTGTTTACCCTTTGACTGCCAAGAGTAACAAGCATATAATTTATCTCCACAATGTCACCCCTGAATCATGTATTGAGGTAACGAAAATATCAGGAAATGATTACTAACAAAAGAAGCTCTTGATTGTGAAACAAATTCTGAGGAAATGTGTGGAGAATATAGATCCTGATGTTTGGGTGTGAAGGGTTAAAACGAAGGGATGTAAGGGGAGAATCCCCAAAATGTTTGGGACTGGAACGCGAGAGGGTTACCATGGATTTTAAATATACAGTAATTAGATGACTGAGCGATTTGACACGTGACACTTACCGGAGCTGCGTAAATGAAGAACGCTATGAGAGAGACGAAAAGAAGGAATAACAGAAAGCCGAGAATGTGCCACTTGTATCTGCCCCAGATTATATGGCGGAGAGCTTTGAGTGGTGACGTAAACCATGGAAACGAGGTCGGAGGGCGGCTGTGGAGGAATGAAACAAAAAGAATTTCGTTTTCAAAGGTGATCTGACGCAGTTCAGTTACGCAGTGTGAGTTTTCATAAATTGTTGTACCCAACAACAAGTTTGGAAGTACGGTACGTGTGACTCCTGTCACCACAATTTCCACGAAAAAAAAACTTTTCCCACGTTTGAGTAATAACGGGTTGCAACCTACTTCGGTTCCTCTAATGGCGGATTCTTGTTTGGTTCGTCTCGCCCCAGTCCTGCCGGTTTAGCCTCTGCCTCTGCTCTTTTCATTATTTCCAAAGTCATCTCAAGTTTGCCCTGGAAAGTAAAGAAAATATTTAATTACGTTTCTTTCGGATCGTGCCTAAACGAACCAGCTCACGGCTTTTTCTTCGGGGCGGTGAAAATCTTTGACACGAGGTACAAAAAATCAAGCATCTAATGAGTGCAGGTGTTTCTTTTTGTTTTATCGTTCGGATCACAGCAAGACTTCATCAGAATTATAAATACAAACAAATGAACGATGCAAGTTCCCTCTCACTCAGTGGAATGACTACTAGGCCCATCTTACACTGAGGCATTACTCAGTTTATCTTGAGCAATTAATGTATACAAGTTAGTAAACAGGTACAATGTACCGTGCTTTTCATTGATCCCGTCTTCATAGAGCTTGTAGCCCACCAGCCATAGCAACGTTTTTGCTTAAACAAGTCCAGTTTGGGTGATGGTTCCGAGTCTCCGGGTAGCTTACAAGAGCGAGCAGTAGTCGCCGGTTTGAGAAGAGATGTCAGGTCGAGCTGTAGAGAACCTGCAGTGTTGAAAAAACAACAAAACTGCTCCTTCAGTCCCATGAACCATATACGGCATGTTCCATGAGCCCTCTTACCGAATTTTGTTTATGATCAAAAGTGTCTAATGCATTAGTGTAACCACATGGGGCGCAAAGCGTAACTGGGATTCGACACTAAAAGAATTGACAGTGATTCAAAATCTTAACTGGCTTTCAATTGTACAACCTTTAACAAATACTTAAAAAGGGTCTCAAAACAAACGCAAGCCTAAAATGTTGATGTTATAATTATTATTATTATTATTATTGTTGTTGTTATCGTCACAATCATTATCGTTATCATCATTATTTCATTTATTATGAGTAAACCAAAGCAAATAAAAAGAAGAACGCTTCGTCGCTCGGCTGAACATATTTTTATGGTTTCTGCAGCTATACGTTTTTACAATTTTCTTCAGATAAAGAGTACCCCACGGTGAAAGACTTCAGACCTACCCCATATATGGGGTTCAAATTATAACAGACGTGCTGTTTTGATGGGTTAAAATACCTTACTCTCCAATATCTTTTCCTGCTTAGCCTTCCAATTGACTGCCAAAAAACTGCTTTAGAAAGAGGGGCAGAGGTAATGATCCAAACAAGATTTACTAACCCAAAAAATCGTCATTTGCAAATCCTAAGTCATTGTCCCATATTTGGAGCATCAAGCGAGGTACAAGTTTCTCTACCGACTCGTCCAGACTCCAGAAATGCTCCTATGATGTTGAGATACGTTTTCATGTCATTTCCTAAGCCAAATGTGACGTTTAAGGTAACACTGGTTCATATTCAGTATAGATCATTCCAGAAAGGACTACGTTTAGTTAGTGTTTCATGTATCAAACCAAAGATTGCATTTCAAAGCCGAGTCCCTCATCATAAATTTTGAAATCGCAAGATCCCCTTCCCAAATATCCTTCATAGCCTGCTTCATTGTAGATTCAACTAATTTCAGGTATGACTTAAAAAAGGAAGCTACGAACAATTCCACGGCTCTGATTAGTGCATCTTGATTACAGCCGTGGAGTTCCATCTAATCACAGCCTCGCGCAACGGAATATAGGTGGCTCGTACTCAATCGACCTCATCGCCTGAAGAAGACAAGCAGAATGTAGTCGAAACGTCGCGATCCATATCTGAAGTGACCGCATCGTGGGGAACGATTACAGAAATAACCTTTACTAAAGAGATAATAAATTTTACATTCTCTTGCCTTTTCCTTAATCACTAGTTTCTTTTCTGCTGGAATGTAAGAGAAAGGAAAAACAAATCTCCAGTTGAAGTTTCCTTCCCCGTCCATGGATCTGCGAAAAAAATTAGTGAGTTTTCTCAAAATGATTTTGTCACTTTGTTTGGAAAGTCTGGGTAGACTTGCTCGAACATCACGCGCGCAAACGGGAGGCACCGGGAGTCTGATCAGGAACTTTATTTCACTCTCTGAGACTCTGTGTCACTTCTATTACTTCAGCTCTTTGTACACATTATTTTAAAATTATCGATAATCAATGTGGCTTTATCATTTCTAACCTGTAGTGGACGTCAGTTTCCTGTGAATCATCAATTCCATCAATCCAGCTAATATCGAAACAAAAACTTATTAATAATCACTCGTGGATATTTTTCATGATCAAGTCAACTAAGGTATTATGATGTTGAGTTTATCTCACAATAAGAACCTGTTAAGTTTTTCCTTGTCTTGTCACTACTTTTTTGTTTTCTTGACTTAAGTGTTTTTGTTCTTTTGTATTTTTTTTGTACTCGTAAGTGTTATAAGTTCATAGGTACACCGATAAGGAGCTTAAACGCCTTTGTGTCATGGCAGTGAACATTAGCAACTGACCTTATGTGTTACATCTCTTTGCTTTACTTCTCCATGAAGCAGGAAATAAAAACTTTTTAGAAATCTAACGATAATTTTATCAATCGCTTCCTCTCTCTTACCCCTTCACGAAGATGTCACTCATTTTCTCGCCAGTGATTGAGGTCTCCTCCAAAATAACGTCTTTGGTGTTCCATATGATGACACGAAGAACGTATCTGAAAATAGCCAATACTAGTGGTTAATGCCAATTACGCAAAATGCGCTTCAAGTCCTTCGGGTGTCATGTAAGACCAAACCAAATATTTATTCCTGGTGGCTAATGAAGGCGAAAAAAAATGAAACGGGGAACCGATGATAACTCAAAGTAAAAAGAATGTAAACGGCGTCCAATGTAGGAAAACGTGAGTGACCAAATCGCGATAGGTCTGACACAGTGGCAAAATGATAAGTCTTAATACGGTTTGCACATGTGTGGTTGTGAATTAAGATGGCACGATTTGCTTTGAACCAATTACACAGAATCTTGAAGCACCGTTGAAATTCAGAGCAGTCCATCAATTCGTTGCTTTTTGTAACATCATATAATTTCTCTAATGTCCCATAAAATCAAAAAAAATTAATTTATTCTGCAAACAAATGGCTAGACCTCAACATTCAAGAGATATTATATTCATACCGGTCACGAAGCCTTGTCAATTTGTGTCTAAGAAATGAAAACTAGCTGAGGAAAACGACGTGCAATCATCAGTTAAAACAAATCTGAATGCTCAGTTTCTTGTAACAAAAACCATGCAGATCTTACTCTTGAGGTTCTCTTGGGGTGATGTCAACCGCAGCAGGTGCTTTGCCCTCTGCGGCTGGAAAAATATCAACCCATAACTGAAGTTTTCCCTGAAAAACAAAGAATAAACATCGTAATTATGGAAAACAGATCAATAGCGCGAAAAATAATACGGTAAAGAACCAGAGAAATAAAGGGCCGAAAAACAAAGGAATAGTGTCGTAACTGTGAAAACAGATCAATAGCACGAAAAAGAATACAAGAAAGAACAAATAAATAGAGAAACAAAGGGCTGAAAAACAAATAAGTATCGTAACTGTGGAAAACAGATCAATAGCACGAAAAAGAATACAAGAAAGAACAAAGAAACAGAGAAAAAAAGGGCCAAGAAACAAAAGATAAGTATCGTAACTGTAGAAAAAAGATCAATAGCACGAAAGAGAATACGGTAAAGAATTAGACATTAAGTAGTAAAGGGCTGAAAAATTGAAGATGCGGCGAGGGTGAAACTTTCAGATAGTATGAATCCTAAATAGCAACAAGTGCAACAATTGAAATGGGGTTGACTCCGTTGGGGACAAATAAAACTTCGGATATAAGAGAGCGTTAATGAAAATTCTCCGATGAGGGTTCGCTTTTGATAAATTGCTTAGGGTTTAATTTTCGTAAGGCCTCTTCAAGGAAGTTTATCATACAGAATCCTAGCTATTGTTATCATCCATGCTCTTTAATTAGTAATGCGGTTCTTGTACTTTGGGAATATACTTTGTAAATTTGGGAATGGTAACTAGTCTTCTTCGAGGTGACTGAGACTTCTCCCGAAAACGAGTGTACAAGGCCTTTGAAAGGTTTGCACCATGCCTCAATTGTAAAATGGAGGTTTCTAAAACTCAGAAGTGGCCAGTGTAAAGGAATCTTTTTCATGTGAAGGTTTTAAGTGCCGAATATTCGCGTCGTGCCATATGATGGGACTCTCTATACCTGTTCCATGGTCGGTTGCTGTGTTTTGTTATACAGACCCCTTGTTTCCACGTGCTCGGGCACGATGTTCATTTTATTGAGGACATGCAGAGCCAAGCGACTTTGTTGTTTCCCAAGGTACGAATGGATTATTGTTCCTTCCTCTGAAAAAAATTGAAAAAGGATTTAATACTAAACGAAATCCGAGGGATAATCCGAACGAAGTAAGAGATCCGAATTAAAAATTATCTCAAATCGTGTCGAGGAATAAAGATAATTTAAATGATGTTTAAAGCAGATGTTCTGTTGATGACAGTTGTTGCAGGATCTAGTCATATAAAGATTAGGGGTTTAAACTAAATCCAAATTAACCAAATCACAAAACCTAACAGGAGAAAGGTGGTAACGAAACCTCGCTGCAATGAGCTATAAAGAATACGTTACTTTATTTGTAAGATCGCCCATTGGTTCCCAATTTTTTTGAGCTATTATCGTATCAATACTTACAACTACACCATGGAATTATTTCCATGAAATGCGCTAAGTTGAGTCAGACAACAACACAGATGTGTCATCATGATGCAACTAAAGGCAAGGAAAGCCCTCATTCATACATCATAAAAGAATCATCAGTTATGGACAGATTGCAAAGTCAATCAAATAAACAAATTAGTGCCGTGAGTAAAATTTGATGATAATGCTAACCAAACTCAGCCAGAGTATAAGTTTGTTCGTCCACTGTCACAGAGCAAGGTTCATCCGTATACACTGGAAGACTCTTGTTATGCATGACGCACCAGTCTCGCAGGATTGTTCTCGGTTTTCGCCCATCTCGCCATTTGTTAGGACCAGATCTTAAACGTCAATAGATATACATGTAATAATGAACCGTAATAAATCAAGGTGAGCTGTGTCATCTAACCTCTCACTTTATACTCCCGTTACCCCTAGCAACAAGCCACCAGGGGAATACTCTCCTATAAAAACTACGTAGGTATGTGCTAACTTAACCCTTTAAGCTACGAGTGATTGGCTTCAAATTTCTCCTTACAGTTTCACCTTTAACTCAAACATGAAATAAAGAGAATAAAGGAAATGATCTCAAATTTAAGTTGCTCCTGATTGTCAAGCAAATTCTCCTCGCAGGTACTGTAGGAAATGTAAAGAGAACAGTGTTGAGAATATGAAAACTGATCATAGGGTGTACAAGGTTAAAGGGAATGCCTTTCGAACCTGATAGCATTTGCTTGACAAGTACAAACTTTGTTGTCTCGAACCTTACCACTGCCTTTGAGGCTCGGGACAAACACCCTTAAAAAAGGGGATCCTGTTTTCCCCTTTATTATCTGACGAAGGAAGATAGGTGTCAACTGAAAGGATAATCCACGAAAGAGATACCTAAGCGTTAGAAGTTCTTACTTGCAGTAACTCTTAGAGCATCCACAAGAAGCACGATATCGAGACAAAAGTCTCTGCTCTAAATCGATCTGTGTTTCACCGATGACGTCATCTCGTCCGATGAGGTCATAATCCATAACGGCGATTTTGAGATCTTTGACAAGAGGTACGGTAGCTGTAAATTCAAAAAGTCTGAAAACAAACGCGAAAAAATAGTAATTTTTGATTAATATGTGCAAAGAGAACTTATATAGTCTTCTTAACCGGGTCTTAGTGCAGAGTTTGAGGTGACATGAAACAAAAGCTCTCTGTACTAAAGAGGATGTTTATCGCATCGGAATATGTATCGAGGATGAGTAGAAAATTGAAATTTATTTATCTGGTGATTTCTCGACCACCAAAAATCTCCTGCTCGCCGCGCATTTGAAAAACTTTGAGACTTTGCTTTACATCACACATCTGAGCTTCTTTTTTTAACTTTGAATCTAAAAATCACGCTCTTGATCTCGCTGAAAGGAAGGGATCAATGTTAGCGTCTAAGCAGCTGTGCACCTACCCCTCCCCTATCCCTACAGCAGTTAACTGAGAACAAGTTAGCCGTTAGTGTTGGGTTACGCGACATGGTACAAGAGTTTTACTGTCAGACGCAGTACATGTAAGCTTACCTTCCAAAGACAGGATTCACTGTGTAAGGTTTATAAACATCTTTGTCATCAAACGTTTGGTCCCCTAAGGTGACTACCAAATATGGGTCGGCCTGGAAAAATGGAAAGGTAGAGTGTAGGTCATTTACTGTCGAGCGCGTGTGCGCACAAGTGGTCCGCGTCCCATACGTTTGAACGTGAGCTAAATATTTAGGCTGATAACAGCACTTAGTGACTTAATAGTAAAATTTCCGTTTTGATAGATAAAAATAAGCAAACAAACTTTTGTAACGTGGTCTAATTTGTTCGTCATGACTTTCTTTCAAGAAGTTCCTATTACAGAAGTCTTTGAGTTGCACCAAGGGACCTCGCAAAAACAGCATTTTATAAACTTCGAGTTTATTGTATTACATTACATGACTTCCGTGAAGTTTGTCAAAAATAGAAACCATATTTTAATTGCGAAACTACTCTACTCTTCAACTCAAGCTCTAGAGCTGGTCCTCATTTTAATGACATTAAAATTTCCTATTCGGTTTATCTTTTTTTCTCCATTTATTATATTACATCGCTTAGTTCCTTTATTAGACCATGATCTCTTTAAAATTAAGAATCTTCTGGTAAAACGTACTGTTCCAGAGTCATCTCTCGGTTGAAGTTCCAAAGCCTAGAAATATAAATGAAGTGAAATGAGTTTTCTATGTTGTAGAATTATCGGTAGACCAGATAATTGTTTTCAAAACTGCTATTTTCTCTTGCACCAGCATATGACAAGAGCGCCCGTTAGTTGTGTACGTGTACTTTGTTATGCCTGTGTTTTGACTCTTGCGTAATTTGAAACAAACTCTTGTCTTCCTCTTTCTTTTTCAGTTAACTTTACCGTAAACTAATGTTTATTCAAGTTAACTAACTGATGGCTTATTCACGCTCTGCTTCTCTTACCTTGATAACATACAGGCGGACAATGCACTCTACAGGTTTGCTCTGTGGGAGATACGTAAAAACAGTATCTGGTAAGGGACGAATCTGTTCATCTTCTGGCATCGGATACACTCTGAATGTTCCCTGAAAAAATTGATATTTTTAATAAGTTTTCGTACTTTACACCTCTGGAAAAATGTAACATGCGCTCGCTTTTTGAAGCAGCAAAAACATTATTTACCTTAAATTCCCCGACAATGGTATCTGCCTCTTCTTCCCGCGATTTCGCTCTTCCGCGGTAAATAGGAAACGTACTTATAAAGTCCTCAAAGCCATTAAACTCTTGCACCTTTTCCAGCTCAGTTTGATATACCTTGAATTTAAACGCCATGATTTAATTGATTGATACTTCTAAAAGTAAATATTTTGCAATTAATATGACTAGAGTACAAGGCTTATTTTCTAAGACGGTCAACTCGAAAAGCTAAATTACGTCAATCAAAGCTATGAATGATGACATGTTTTTATTAGTGTGGTATCCAGAAACTGCTCAAAATAGGAAAAAATCTCCCACAAGATTTCTGGAAATTCTAATTATTCATTATTCATACAATGTTTTGGATTCTCGATGAGAAGCAAGTTTTAAGTAATTATTTTTCAGGTTCAGTTCATAACCAAACAAAGTATAGATTATGGTTGGATGTACACGCAAAGTGCTTGCATGTATTTTGCAAAGTCTCAACTCTGTGTGGGCAATTTTAACACCAATGTACTCAACGTGCTACAAAGTAATCAAAAGCTGATAATAGAATCAGTGATTCGATTATCAGCTTTTGAATAAAGGATTCCCAAGAAATTTAAAAATAATACTTTTCAGTTTTGACTTCCAGAAGTGCCCGATATTCTTCACGCCCATAAGCCGTTAAAAACTTCGTGTCCTTGAAAACTAAAGAGCCAGATGTTCAAAATTTTTCAAGGGACGAGAAACTTCAGTTCGAATTAAAGAAAAATTTCTTCCGAGAGCCATGTATCTGTTATCTTTACTGAATGGAAACCACTATTCAGGGGACACTTTTCCCAGTCCTGAAGACGTCCTGTGACCAAAGGTTCACCTTAGGTTTGTCACCTAATTCAGGGTGATAACATGGGCAAAAAGAAAGTAGGTTGGAGAAAATATATTTCTATTGCACTGTTAATACTATTCCTCGCTGCCTGAAGCTAGCCAAACTTAGTACCGTCATCTTTTTGTATCCTAGGTTGAGAAATTCTCCACATTTCTCTTCATCGCCTATAGAGGCGAAAAACTTCGACCACCAATCTAGGGACTCCTCTAGGATTTCTTCTTTCTTCTCTATCTGAAACAGAAAACATGAAACAAAAAAAATTCACATACCGTAGCACTAAGGCGGGGAAACCAGGGAGACCCCAAGGAGACCCCTGGGGTGCCCGTGAGCATCGTTTATTTGCTACAAAAGTTAATAGGGAGCATAAGCACAAACGTTTCTGAGACGGATAGCATTCGGAAGTTAAAAGTTCTAAATCCTAATGCTCACTACACCATTTTGGTCATTACAATTTAGTTTAGAATCCAAAAGAAACGACCGTACAGTCCATATGTTGGCGTCAAAACACGTCAGATATGACGTTGCCGTACGCGTCTTTGGTTAAGCTCTTTATTTGCTCAAATGCAGTGGTGATGGTATCTCAATTGTCAGAGCTTAATTAAAACTGGAAAGTATGTTTACGTTTTCACTTACGTGAGGATTAACATGTACCTTTTTCTTGACCTTTTTCGATTCCTTGATATCGACAACATGTGAACCTTCTTTGCTTTTGGTTGAAACGTTATCAGTGATTCCTAAACACAAAATCAAAGAGTGAAATAGTAAGAAAAATACCGTAAATTGAAATCTCAAAGCAAATAATTCTTAAGAGAGAAAACCGTTAAACATCGTGTGAACGTTCAGGGAACAGGAGGAAGCAAGTTTTACAACTTTAAAAAGGAGCTTGTTGTCTTAATTTAACTCACGTGGACATAAATAACTTTGCTTATTGACCTTTAACAGCAAGACCGAATGGTCTCGCCTCATTATTGAAAGCCAATAATCAGTGGAAGCTTACCTTTCTTTTGTGACCCTTGAGGGCCAGAGTCAGTTTGCTCAATGATTTGCGGCGTTGTACAGCGGTATTTCTGGATGGATCTCACTGAATGAACACCGACGATTGGTCGACGACCAAAAGAGCGGTTGTCACGGACCCGGATGTTAAGTGCTGGCGTATAGATTTCTTCCACGGGAAGATTCTATGAAAAAAAAAAACATCAAGAAAGGATTGACTTGAAGGGCTTATGATGGAACTCAGTGTTTTGTTTATGAGCCGCACATGGCGTAATATTAACAATGTGATGGTGTTGACAGTTCTTTAAGAAAAATATAATTCCCCCCACACTAGAGCCTTTACAAAATTACCTGCTATCATTTCGATAACATAGCAAAATACTTTCAATCACGCTAACGTTTTCACCATATTATTTTCCCCTTCCTTACCATTACAATTTCAATGGAATTCTTTACCGATGCAGTTTCCGGTTTCAAAACGCACACTCTTTGATGCAATTTCGCTTATCTTCCAAATAAAAATTCTTGAAAACGCTGATGCACGAGAGAATTTTTGACTCTTTTCAGTCACCGTATTCAGACCTTTAAAGCTCTTTATGCCAGAGACAGCGTTTCCAAAATGACTAGTTTTCAAATAACTCATGTTTTGCTTTTCTCAATGTATTTGTTTTCAGTGACAACAAACACTGGTTTCCATCGTTTTAGTATAAACTATACACTAAAGCGTTTCAGAGAGTGAAAAGGGTCAATGTAATAGTCCCAAAAGGTATAGGTTGGTTCAAAATTCAGCACTTTCCCTGTTACCCTTTTATTTTGGAAAATCGGTTGTTACATATATGAGACACCTGCATGCTTACCAAAGCAAGATTAATATACAAACTTTCTCTATTCAAAATAGGTATTCGTAATTACCACAATCATTCTTGTCAAAACGGGATTCTCAAAGTTCGGGTTCTTCTTCGTATCCTTGATGACTTCAGACTGCGCCAGTCCTCCGGCACACTCGAACTCAATACTTGGTGACGTCACGCTCGTTAGTTCAAACTTTTTCATGTTTCTCACTCCCCAACACAAGACCTGTACATGATAGTGGTTTAAAGACAATAGCTCGGCACGACTGGTAGAATATTTTCAACTCAACTATGGTTTCAAAACGCTAATGTTTTGGTGTTATACAGTTTGCATTTCATCATGCGCAATTAACGAAATAATCCATCGTCAAGTCGGATCGCTGTTATTTGATTGTTATTATTTTTCTAAGTAAAAAGGTTTCGTTTGATTTTCTGTTTGCGTTTGGCTACATTACTTTCGTAAGATATATAGAGCAGGTCGAGCGACATGACAAAGTGTTCCTACATATAAAAACGCCTTTTCGGCTGTGATAAAGTCAAGTTTTGGATATCAAAATTATTTCTCTTCCAAATCAACGAAAACTTGAAATTAAAGTAGGAAGCTAAAACCGATTGCTGACCTCAATCGCTGACCGTTGTAACTTTGGACGGACACCACTTCGCACAGCATATAAGTCTCCTCTCATGGGTGGGGTGAATGGTAACTCTGCACCTTCATCCTAAAAATAAAAGATGAATACCTCTTAAACTATTTTTTCTGATATCTTCACTACAATAAACGTACAAAATATGAACTAAAAAATAGGTAATCCTTAAGAGGGACTTTTACTCCTCTTTGTTCTGATTAAAGTATCAACTTTGTATTCTTAGTCCACATGCCTTGAGATGTGAGCATCTGAGTTTATCAGGTACTTGAGTTCTCTATGCTCGGGTAATTGAACACAAACACGATGCTGTAAACCCCCCCTGGAACCCCCGCATCACATTGGTGAAACTGCTTCATATCTTAGCATTGGCTCGTCAACATAGTGCGAATTCCGAAAGAGATAAACAGAGTGAAAACCGTAACTGTGCGCAATGCCGAAAAATAGGGAAACATAAAAAAAAATCCAAGACTCTTACAAGGAAAAGTTCGCAAGCAGCCAAAAGATCTCCTCCTTCTTCGTCTCCTCTTTTGATCTTAAACCACTGCAGCCGCGGCTCAGGAGTTTCGTGTCCATGTAGACGTACCGTAGGTGACATCACACAGCGGCCGAGAAAGCCATCTTTGCCCTGCGTACGTCATGAAACAACCATCACTATTCAAATGAAAGCTCAGTACGAAATGTCTCATCAATTAGATTTGTAAAGATAGATAACATCCAACAATAAATGGAAGGCACTTCTAAGTGCAATGCCTCTTGCTTGACCTTGTAGAAAAAGGTTCTTCTATTATTATAATCCAATGTGAAGTAAAACACTACGACCGTGTTTTAAACCTCAAGATTTTTCCTTTATATTAACAACCGAAACCATTACAAACGGTATAAAAGTTTTACTCTTCAAAGCATGACTAAATATCTGCACAAAACAAACGTACTGTCCACTATCAAGTATAGGAACCACACTTCATCAGTTCTTTTGATTAAGTATCTCAAAAGTATCACTGCTTTTTACTTTAATTGTATGTAAACGTACCACTGCGTCCTTGTCAAAAACCTCTACCACCACACTCGGTGGGCTCTTGGCGACATTCTCCACGCTCTCATAGATTTCAACATCATCAAATATGAGCGTTTGGTCCCAGGTGGGACATAAAGTCTGCGTCAGCACTTCTGTTACAGCACTTTGCTTGCAAAATGCCACGCGAACGTAGGCATCTGATGTTTGGAGAAAAAAGAATCAAGCAAATAAATCCGTGTCAGTACGGTGGTGGTTTAACGTGATCTGTACGCTTATCGACTCGCGAGGCGTAGCCGAGTGAGTTCGCAACAGATTTTGACCACTGTGATGACGAATATCGTTGTCGAAAAGAGGACAGATCGCACTGAACCGCTATCGACTTGTTTTTTACCACAACGTCGATGTCAAAATATATTTTAGAGTCATCCATAAAAGCATTGCGCGACACGTTGACGCGAGCAGCATTGTCTCTACTCTCTTAAACAACAGCAAATTGGCCAATCAGATTGCAATATTACTAGCAATGTGGTAAATTCTCTTCGTTTAATTAAAAAGTTTTTCATATATTTCCTTTACCATTCATCCCACTCTCGTCCATGGCGAGAAGGTCACGTGCTTGATAGATATAGGCCCACATCTGATACTTGTGAGGTTCTGAAAACAAGAACAAAATGAATCTAAATTAAAATTTCTTGCTTTTTCTCGATAAGCTGCTGAGTCCTTTAAGAACACTTATAATGAAAATATGCCGTTCTTGGTCCCATATTATTCTTGGTCTTTTATTCGTGTTTTATTCATTTTTAAAGAAAGTGAGTTTTACCTCTCAATGTTAGCCGGATTTCACTTGATTTCAAGACTATAAAGCTAATATAAATAAATAAATAGACAGTTACATGGAAAAACCTTGAAATTATTTAACTTACTTTCGAAAGTAACAAACATTCTTGGAATATTCCTTAAACAACTTTTACTCTCCTCCTGTTTAAAATAAGAGAATATTACGAGAACATTTCTCTTTCGAGTTTTATAACAAGTCAGAAAAGAGAAATCCAGTTGATAAAAGGTTCAACCGCAGAAAATAATCATTAGAGCAGGAAGATTGGGTTACGCTTCCTACATCCTCCATAATATTATTTCTACGCCTTGTGACATGTGCACGATTATTTATACGCCTTGTGACATACGCACGATCATCTCCGCTCTAGTCCTAGGCAAATTGTTCTATTGCTCTACACTTTGGTCGAACACAACTGCCACAAATATCAAGAAGCTTCAAGCTTTTCAGAATTTTGCGTGCAGAATCATCACAAAAACCAAGAAATTTGAGTACATAACACCTGCGTTACGCGAGATCAAAGGGCTACCGGTAAATAAGCATCTCCACTACAGAGACACTGTAATGACGCTTAGGTGCATGAAGGGCCTGGTCCCCACATACTTGTGTGAGTCTCTCCGAAGGCGCAAGTCTATTCACTATCATAACACTAGAAACAGAGAATCCCTTGATATTCCTCCAAGCAAGACAAAGTCAGGCCAGCGACGTTTCCTTCATAGAGCAGTTAACATTTGGAACAATTTAGACAAAGACTTTAAACAGTTACCTTTAACATCATTTAAAAGAAAGTTGAAAACGCACATGCTAGAGAATTATTTTAATTGACCGCTTTTTTTAAATTTTATTCATTTTTTAATTATAATGTTCTTTGCTGTTTAGTATTTAAAAGCCCCTTTTAGTTAGGGAATACTAACAAAGTATATTTGTATGTATGTATTCGTAAAACGCTTGTCATTTTCTCCACCAAACACACCTATAAAGCTATAAAAAACCACTTATTTGTTACAGGCTTCCCGCGGCGCTTTTCGCCGTTTGACGCATTCCTTGATCTTCATCAGTCCTTTATGAATCTTACCTCTGCTTTGATTTGCTACTCAGTTTATAGGTCAAGCTTTCTTTGTATTTTGATCTTTGCAATCAATGAAAAATATGATTGCACTTCCATAGCTGTAGATCTCACCTCGTCTTCAAGCTCGAGAAGACACACAGGAGGCATGGACACTTTGGCTTCCTTTCCTCCCTTTGCAACCATCTTTCGGTGCCATCGCCGACGCCTGACGAAATCAATCTTCCTTTCTTTGTGGTGGAATTTGGCCGTAAAAATTGGGGCATACTCCCATCCTTCCTTCGCGAATTCTTCAAGCTCTTTCTAAAATTAGAAAAAAAAGGGTTTGTTATGCAGAAGCATGTCGTGAATACCACATCTTTTCCAAGCAAACAATCCTCATGCGAAATTCCCTCAGCATTCCTGAAAAATCTCATTTAGCATATGGAACAAGGGAACGCTTAAATTTTCTCACTGGAAACAAGACCTAAGGCTGGACAAAACCCCATGTTGATGTATTCATTTGAGATTCTCAAAAAACCGTCCCAAGTCTCAGCTTGTTGCAAGATTAAGTCTCGCTAAGTTTTGAAATTGGGTGCAAACCCTTCAATCGAAATTCAAGGCGTACTAATGAATTCTTGAGCTAACAGTAACTTATTACCTTGGTTTCAAGCAGATGAGGTTCTTTATTTTTTGTTTGTTATATTCCTACCCGCTTCATGCAAGAGCACATGCATATATATCGGTAACTCAGATCAAGATACGGTTATTTTTGACCTACTTGTTTGATAGCAGCCTTTGGATCTTTCAATAATCTCTCCCTGACCCATCGTCTTCTCCTCACCAAATGGTAAGCCTTTTGAATGGCACCATACACTCCGTATGATACATCGACAGAATACTCCCATCCTAAATTTAAGCAAAACTGTCAATCGACCAACTAATGCATTACATAAATTGCAAATGCAGCCAATATTAGTTCATATTCAAGAACACCTTGGCCCTCTTGAATCTCTCTGTTCTTTCCTTTGGTCATAAACTGTATTGTTTTGTCATCAATACATGCGGCTAAGAGGTGACAGGTATCTTTGATGAACGAAATTGCAGATGCTTTTTGTTGTTTAAAAAATAATAATGACAAAAAAATTGACCATACTGTTGTTCCTTAGGGGACAGCGTGATCTAGGAGGAGGGGTGCATCAGAGCGCTAACGTTTAAATTGGCTGGTCTTGGCTTTTGGGTCGATTCTCAACTTGTAATTGCTATTGGAATTTAAATGTGTACAGTAGTGTTTAAATTAACCCAATGTTTCAGTCTTAACGATACCTTCGTCGTCTACAGCTCTATTGTCATCGACCTGCCAGTTTCCGGTCCACTCCCAGCCTTCTGGACATTTTATCTTCTCTTTCTCGTCAATTTTGTCACCATGCTGTGAAACAGGAAAAAAACGATTATTAACACAATTTTTGGCCGATAAACATTTGACAGTCCAAGACATCTCAGATACACGCAAAAAGAAAATGAATATAAGACACAAAAAACTTGAAACAGCGTGCATTGTGAATATCACAGACTTACCACATTCGTCCAAGGTGCAGAGGCTGGGCTCCAGTTCCCCCCAGGAATCATCCTCGCCTCGTTTTCAAATACATCCTCTAAGAACGTTTTGTGGCCTGAGTCGCGGTCAAACATCAAACTAATGAAATAAAGTAAGATGTATTTGTGATTTCAAAAATAGCTAATGGCTAAAGAAGGTGGTAATTTTTTCCCGGGTAATCCAAAGCGATTAAAGCAAATGCTATGACCAGAAGATTCCTACTTCTTTCAACTATTATTGCAGGATTTGATTTTGCGTGATAATTTGTCGTTAATGAGGGATTCACCCTCATTAAAGATCTCCTCCCTTGGCGATCGCTCTTTCTTGACCTTAAAAACCTGATGTCATTGCACTTATCAGTTTGGGTTTTCAGATGGAAAACAGTTAGTAACATAATCCCTGATTAGACTGCTTCTGGAAAATTATTAGTTCACACGCAGTTTGACAAAATTCCAGCATTGTAAGTGTTTGTTTGTAAAGATATTCAAAGACGCAGCAGGAACGCGGTGCGTATAACGACAGAAGGCAAAATGATTTTATAAATTTAGAGCTGGTGAAGCTTTATTTTAAGCCCGTTTGTTGCATAAAGGAAGATGTTAACCATTTTGAAACGAGCACGAAAAATCGAGGTGGATTGCTCCACCAACTGAGCGGCTACAGATCAAAGAACTCGTTGGTGAGATAAGGGCCTATCCGCACTAGCGACTAAATTGTTTATTTAGACAAATTTTCTGTTATCACTAACTCTTTACAAGTGCGGATGATTTGTCGCGCCTTGACAATTTTTTGCCGAAGCGGACAAATTTTCAAACGTACCGCAGACAAAATTTGTCCCAGTTAAAAGCTTGGCAACATCTACTAAATAAACAAAACTATGATAAACTTGTTTATCATTTGTCGTAAACGCTGCCATTAGTGTGGTAATTGAATTGGGTTCATTTTACCAATAAAAATTGCAGTTATTGTCCTTCGTTGCGAAACTCGCAGATTTTACAAGTTTAACTTAAGATGAATCCCGGTAATTGGAATACTTTACTCCATTGGCGAATTATAGTCACGCAATTTTGTGTTTACGCGTGTTAGAGCAGGTTGCGAAACATTCAACAGAATATCGAAGGTACAACGATCCATTCGCAGTTGCCTACTAAAAAACTCCACGGGAATTGTTCGGTCATTGTAGTACTTCCGCAAAGTACGGGTCGTGTCGACGTGCCCGGCGTTTCCGTCTTCTACGGTGCTCAACCATTAAAAGAGTTGCTTGGTGTCTTAGAAATCGATGCCTTAATACTAAGCTCGTGATAAGCATCATTTCGTCTGCCATCTGAGCGAAATTTAAAAGCAAGAAACACGCCACAAGTTGAAACATTTGAACGTGTTCCATTGTCCCGCCAAAACGTTTGATGGTTTGGCGCGCACAGCTGATTGAAATATGATATCGGCGTTATTTTAAGCTGTTAACCGAATTTGACGGCTTTTTGACAGCTTCGACATTTTTAGTGCGAATGCAACAGTGGAGACAAAAATTTGTCCTTTGATTTTGTCGGGACAATTCTAGTTTTGTCTGCTAATGGGAATAGGTCCTGAGTCATAACATGTTCTTATCTCGAACAAGCGTCATGGGAGTTGATAAGTTAAGAAAGATGGTAGATTTTGAGCTTTGTACGACTTGATACGAGTAAACGCGAATGTTTACCATTTTTCTGAAGAATGTCGGTTTGTAAAGATTCAAGTGGAAGGGAAAACCTGGTGGGTATGCATCTTTAGATAAAAGTCTTTTTTCTGGTATGAAATATTTTTTGGAAAATTGGTTGCAAATATGGCCTACAAGCTAAGGCTCTGGCAACAGGCCTAGAAACATAGCAGCTGGAATACTTTCAGATAATAGTGTGAAAACTGTCATTAACTAGGTTTTCATAAACTTCCAGACCGATAAATAGTCCCCATACAAATCCGTTTGCGTGGACGAGTCACTCTTTATAGATCTCAGCACATACTTTGAAAATCGCCCTCATAGTCAGTCTTACGAAAATTTTGCAACGCATAATCATGCAATTATAATTAAGAAGACAGTACACTTCACAGCGATGTATCTGAAATTAGGTTCAACATTGGATAACAATTGGCTTGTTCAAATTAAATAAGCACTATTTGAACACGAGCCATTTTAAGCTAGCGAATTGACTGCTCGGCGTGGAAAATCAAAACGCCATTCCCCATCAAGTCTGAAACTCACATAAACAAAATGTTGTTGTGGGTATTTGTAGTAACAGCAATGGTGAAAATAACGTTGAAGAGTTGCTGAGACGGAAGAAAAGTTCATGTGATTCTGTATAGCTGTCAATGGGTCTTAATAGGTTGTCCTGTGCGCTTAGAAAATGAGGGTACCCCATATAACCTCTAGCTTTTACTGAATATTAGTGTTGACTTGATAAGACGCATGAAGGCATATTTTTAATTCGTGTGATAAGATATCTACGTGTGATTAAGCTGTTTCGAACCCTTGAAAACTAAACATTTGAAGAACAAACAAACAAACATACCCAAGACAAAGAAAAACAAAAAAAAAAGAATTCTTTTAAGAACATTGGGATCCACAGAGAAAAATCTGAAAATTTCTGAGATTTGATTTGTCCATTTTTCAGAAGAACTAAGATATTTCACATGGATTGAGCATAGAAATCTTACAAAGAGTACCAGAGGGTACAAGTTGTATCTATGTTGAAGATAATAGCTGGATTAGCTTGGATTCGATGGTTTTATTTTACTGATTGTATGTTCAGAAAATTGAGATCATCAGTATTAGAGAATGAAAAAACGACATCGTGGGAAACTGGGATAGTTGAAGATTTACGAATTAAAACGGCCTAAATGTGATGATACTAGAAGAGCCATTTTGCGGTTATTTTCAAAGAAAAAAATTCGAAAAGGGAAAAGCAAAATGCATGACGATGAAAACCACCCAAAATGATGAATTTTTCATTTCTTTATTGTTTTGCAGGCGATTCAGCTGCCTTTTTGGTGTATTTGACCTTCTTGAAATTTCGGAGAAAACCCAACGATGATGGAATATTGAGCGGAAGTTCTGAAAGGGGGCGGTGAGGTAAATGAGATAAAATGGAAATTTTCAAGAGCACTGGATTCTCCGGAAGCGAGAGTTCGAAACACAACACGTGTCAATTCGAAACATAACCTTGAAATTTATCTCGAAGTTGCAAATCTAATGAAGCGCGAAGATGGAGAAAACAGAACTTTCGAAACTGACATCGAGCCATGATTTGACATTATCACGAAGCCATCAATGGACTTCTGACATTATTAGTTTGGAATCAAATAAAACAATTTTGTTCTCGCAAATTTATCTTGATCAAGCGTTTCCGTTATTTGGGCTTAACAATATACCCGCCTAGAAAATCCTCTGACGAAAAGTCTTTTTTAGTTTCCCAGATCCCGCTGGGGGAAATAGTTTGTTTTGATGTTTTTCCACGCCAATCGTGACGCTTTAATTTATTCAGAATCCGGAAAATCATCCATGACCCGAAATGATATTGTGCAGCTATTGAGGTTTTGCGGTATTTCACTTTCTTGCGGTTATCAGCTCTTGAAATCTCATAAATTGCCCACGCAATTCTGATTTTGTCATTTTCAAGCTAAGCCTGAAGCGGGGTGCAGATGAAAGAACTTGGAAATATTTTATCAGCGAAGTTCTATAGCGGCTAACTTTAACTTTCCTTGTCGGTGAGTGGTCTTTCAGTGATTATCCGCGAAACTATTTCGACGTAACGCGACTTTACACATGTCCAATGCTCAATAACCGATACGACTCGAAATTACTTTCTGCATGTCGATCTGTTTGAGTTGACAAATCGTGAAGCTAAGTTGACAATCCGACAAATGCACCATTATCCGTAGAATAAATAATGAGAGAGGTAGGAATATGGTTCCCTGAACGAGCAGAATAGAATTGAATAGAACCTTAACACTTACCCGATAAGGTTAAAGCTAAAAGCTTTTGGGGTCTTGTTCAGTGCGATATACTTGGATAAACTACTTACATACATACTACTTGTAAAATAACCCTTGGAAGAAATTATAAATAAAATGTTATCATTCGATTAAAGTAAATTAAATTAAAACTGTACATATAAACCTAAAAAGTGATAAAAAATAAAATATATTATTATTACATATTTCAAAATAAGCGTAGTCGATTTGCCTGTTTTGAGAGGTAGAGTTAGATAACCTGTGGAAGGTGTAGTCCCCGAGAATGTCATACTCAGGAGTTGATTTAAGAGTTTGTTAGAGTTTAGAGTTTAGAGTTTATACGTGTATCTTTTTTTTTTTTATTAAATAAGTTCCACTCGACTGCCCCTTGATATGCTAGTGAGTCTTTCAAGAATCTAGTATGTGCATGGTCGTTTGGCTGCTTCCTGGTCTCGAAAAGAATAGCGCCATTATCGCCTCGTGAATTTGGCTTTGTATAGGCCCTGGTAATATTGCATTACTTGCTTTATGAGATAGTTTGTCAAATCTCATTCGTACGAATCATGAATAGGAGTCCCGACTCGTGGTCGAGTCATGGAAGGCATCTCATTTGTGGGACTTCGACTGAATATATCGTGAGAGAGGTGGGAGAAGGGTGCTCTGAAAGATTTGTGGAATCGATCGATTCTTCATGTTTTGAACAACAATCGATATTTCGCGCAGAAAAAGCAAGGAAGCCAATATGTCTATGGCGTAATTGTACTATGAGGAAAATTAGCCTACGAGTTACACTTCCTAACTTCTTTATATTTTGAACAACATTCCATAACTCGTACCACAAAACAAACAGGAGACCTAGATTTGTATGCGTCGTTCTAAAAGCACGGGCCCTGAGGAAGTAAACGTTCTCCCTTCTCTATATCATGAACAACACTCCTTATCTCGCGCAGTAAAGCAAAAGAGAAAACTCACTTCATCGTACAGCAAAGCAATAAAAAAAGCCAATATATGTGTTCATCGTTCTGTAAGCACATGCAGCGAAGAATTACACATTTTGCCATATTTTCAACCACACTAGATTATTCGTGCAGGAATGCAAACAATGAGGCTCGTGATGA